TTGATTTTTGGCCGGACTTTTCTGCGTTTTGGGCCCCCAGCAACGCCCGTGTCACAGAGGTTACACTGCTGAGACCGGTAGGCTCGAGCGAGCTTCGGAAAGAGAAATGTAGATAGATGTTCTTATATCAACTGACTCTCTGGTCAGGCTATGATGGGTGCTAGATGAGAGTGAGCACAAGGGGCGAAGGCGCGCTTGTGTCCCAGCTCAACAACAAAAACAATAAACAAGCAGCAAACACAGCAGGTTCCGAGGGTCCCCGGGGTATGGGCCCGAGTACCGGAATTTCGGGGTTCGGAACAATAAAACATCTTCAGCAGTCTCGCCTGCCAAATTATCTCCGCTACAACTCTGTGCTCATGTTTTCTGCTAAGCACAGTCTCTTCTTTCTGGATTATGTCCACGGAAGGCTGGNGGGGTATGGGCCCGAGTACCGGAATTTCGGGGTTCGGAACAATAAAACATCTTCAGCAGTCTCGCCTGCCAAATTATCTCCGCTACAACTCTGTGCTCATGTTTTCTGCTAAGCACAGTCTCTTCTTTCTGGATTATGTCCACGGAAGGCTGGTTGCCGCAGTCGCACCTATGGTAAACTGTGTCTGACTACGTTGTAACAGTTTTCCTCGACAGAGAGGTCCTGCAGGGCTGCGGCAGCAACAACAGCATGCAGGGCACGGCTTTCTTTGGGAAGACAGTCAGTAGCGCGGCGCTAGTACGCAATCTGAACCAATCCCGCGGGGAACCATCCTGACAAAACACACAGCAGCAGCAGCAGTAGACCGTCACCCCCTCGACGGAATCTCTCGATGATTGTAGGCGTTTTCTGGACTTGGGAAGGTTTGTTATTTGTGTCATCATCGGTCGGCTCTTTTGAGGCAGTTGGTTGGACCCACTCAACATCAATAAATACTCGCCAGTTACACATGGCGCATGCCTACAGTATACCCACGGTGCACAGGTCGTAAAGGCCCGGCCCCTACTGGTTTTCATAGCTGGTCTCAGACCAGCGTCTCAGCGGTGATGCGTTTGTTGGTGGTGTTCTTGCGTCTCTGTCGGTGCTTCTTTGTCCTGGTCTGAATCGCGCGCGCCCGCGATCTCCGCTTTTTTGCACGCCTTTTCGCGTAGAAACCCCGGGGTTGGGAGCACAATCTCCTACGAATATAGGCTACATATGCCGGTGAAACGCGGCCATCTGCTCTCGGAGCACGACCAAACCGGTGTGAATAAGAGCACGCTATTTTTCTTCTTCCTCAGAAGCGAGTAGATCGTCTATCGGTGCCCTGTAGATCTCGTTCTGGTTCCAAAGGTGTGCTAAATAGGCGTCCCGGAAACCAAGTTTTGGGGCCGCTGTATCGCGCGGCGCAACTTTGGCCGATATATTGAGCCTTTTTTTCCCTCCTGGGCACGAAGGGAAAAAATGTCGCTCGCTTCGCTCGCTCCGCGGCTCATAGTAATCTTGTACATTTGCAACGGACACAAGCAGAACTTATATACATATATATATATATGTATATAGTTCAATGCATACCATACGTGTATATATGTGGCCTGTACGTGAAGCGTAGAGCGGTTCCTCGGGGCTTGGTATGTACCTACAACCTCAATCTTATCCTCCTCGTCCGTGGTGATCCATGTTCGGTCGTCCGGGGGCTAGATATCAGCGCGGAAAGAACAACAGGTACTGTCTGCTCCTCATCCCTGATGATTCATCTTTCTTGTCCGGTGATTGACAGTGTTGTTGATATGCATCTCACTTTAGTGAGTCGTGTCATCGCCGTGTACCGGTCATTACCGGACACAAAAATTTGCACACACAATAGACCCGCGTACGTATGCTCTACCACCAGTAATTTTGATACTGCTGTGTGATGCTGTAGATAGGGCGGGGTAATAAGCGGCGGGGTAGCCGACTCAATACCTTGCAGTAGTATATCTGCGATGCTACTGTGCGGTGGCGACTGCAGCCGGCAACATGCCGAAGAGCGACTCCCGATGAGCCTACGGCGGTGGCATCACCTTCACCACGTGCAACACCCGTCCACAATTGCAGTTGCCGTGCGTTCAGGTACTTACTCACTCCCCCAGGCCCCTCCACCTTCCCTCAACAAGACTAAACCGCCGCTTCTTCGAGCGCTTTTTCGCCCCGAGCGCGTTCGCCCTCCTCCCTCCTCGTCCCCCCTCACCTCCATCCCACCCTCCCTTTTCTTCTCCTCTCCCCCCCTGCGGCTGCGGTGCACGCAAGCTCAAGCTCGTCCAGGGGCTACGTGGGTTGTTCCTGTACCCCCGAGCGTGAAATGTGCCCCCTTTATATATAGGATTTAGAATGGTCTTGTTTGTATATGAAACTGAAAAGCGTCGGGCGGGGAGCGGAGGGGCCTTCGTAACCCCCCCACTCCCCGGTGCCATCGGGGTTGGGTTTTCGCCGCTGGGCAACGACGTTGTGTTGGGTGCGGTAGCTCGTCAGAGGCCGAAAGAGAAAGAAAGTTGACTCAAGACCTTGTCGCTTAGAGAGTAAGAGACATGCGGTAGGCCACACCATCGCCATGGTCCGTCAATACATTCCATCCGCGTACCCCCCGGAGGCCCCGTAGACAGTATACTCTGCCGAGCACCCCAAACAGCCCCCCTGCTCGGTACGAGATACTATCTACGAAATCCCCGACACGACTATCATTGCCAGACAAAACGGCAGACAGAAAAACCAAAACCCCTATGCTAACAATAAATCATCCACCATTCCAATCCAAACGACTCTGCCAATAGAACATGTCCCACGAAATCGCCGGATCTTCCAACAGAACACGCCCTGCAAAGCTTTCAAAACTTTTTGATGTCAAATTTCTACCCCTAAAAGGTCTGTCAAGAAAAACAAATCACCCTCTCGAGAAAAGTGCTCTGCCCATTTCTCAAGCAATCAATCAAAACACGAACAATCACCCTTGAAAAAATACCCAGCAAAAAGATCAACATTACATCAGAATCACGTCAGAACGGGGACGGGTAACTCCGGGAAAACGTGTCTTACGTCCTGACTACTCAGAACAAATTCATTCCTCAGATAAATATTCATGTTTCAACTCAATGGCCAGTTCAAACTACAAGAACATGCCAAACCCTCTCTCCGACATCCAATACCTTGACAAAGAAACCACTCCACCAGCCCCCCTGCTGTAACATCCATTCCATCCTGAACATGAAGTCAAAATCAAATCAATCAATCAATCCAACAGCCCCCCTGCTGCATCATTCATCCCGAAAAATCAAAACCAAAACAAACCACCTGCGACTAGGATCATGAAACAATACTTCCCCCCCATGATTCNCAGTTCAAATTACAAGAACATGCCAAACCCTCTCTCCGACATCCAATATGTTGACAAAGAAACCACTCCACCAGCCCCCCTGCTGTGACATCCATTCCATCCTGAACATGAAGTCAAAATCAAATCAATCAATCCATCCAACAGCCCCCCTGCTGCATCATTCATCCCGAAAAAAATCAAAACCAAGACAAACCACCTGCGACTAGGATCATGGAACAATACTTCCCCCCCCATGATTCTCACGCAGAACTATCCCATCCATCGCGAAAGCAGAAATCAACATCGAGCAGCAGATCAAAGGCCAGTACCAGGTCACAAATAAAACACATG